CATTAGTGCACAGACAACCATCGCTCACTGTCGGCTGCTTTGGTGGATTACAGATTACAGATAATTGTGCTCTCATAAATAAACGTGTAATCGCTGGCTGACAGTGTCCTGACATCCCTCCCTCCCTCCTTCTCCCTTTTCCTTCCAGATATAAAGGGAAAACCTATCGCTCCACCATCCGGATAGTCCGCCTCGCAGACCAGATCCAAGACTTCTGCCGTAAGGTGTGCGTGAAGCTTCAGTGCTGCCCGAACCTCTTCGGCCCCGTCCTTGTCACCGACAAGTGCCCAGAGAACTGCTCCGTTCAGACGAAAACCAAATACAGTGAGTGCCTGTAATTAAACGCATCACTTCCTGCACCACAGCTATGAAGAGGACCCAAATCAGAGCCTGTGACGCTGCAGAGTGTGTAATTGCCTCTGATGAGTAGCTGAGATTTGTTCTGGGTGCATTGTTTTCAACATCTGCTGTGCATCCGCAGCCTATTACTATGGGAAGAAGAGGAAGCTGTCCAAGCCGACGGGAGGAGAGGAGGCGGCGGAGGGGGAGCTGGCCAAGCCGACGCGCCGCAGGAAGAAGAGGAAAGCAATCTTTGTACAAAAGAAGAGACGCTCGTCCGCTGTGGACTTCACTCCCGCTGGCTCACCGCAGGTTAGTTAACGCTCCTTCGCTGTTGTCTTCCTTCTCACTGTGACCCGTCTGCGGCTACCGAGCGTACAGTCAGAGTGGAGGTATAAATATAAACATCCCTGCGTGTGACGGCGGTTGGAAGGAGAACAGGAGCTTCACAGGCAGGAAATGACTTCAGTTTACACAAGTTTAACAAAAAGTCTCTTAATTTGAAGGAGTTCTTTAAGTTTGTGTGTGATGATGTACAAAGAAAAAATGTAGTGCTCGACCAGTATGTTTATTTCAGAGTCGATACAGATATCGATTATTAGTAATCAGGGAAACGGTAACGATATTTGGAAATATTTGCAGTAAAAATATAAATCTTTGGTGGATTATTGGTGTAACTAAGTACATTTACTCTAATACTGTACATAAGTATACTTTTCTACTTTATTCTTCCTTTCTACAACATTTTGTAAGCTTAAGTAAACTTTTAACTGCAAAACATTTATATGATAACTTTAGTTTATTAATACAACATATAAATAAAGTAATAAATAACAATATATTATACCAGATTAAGCTACCCAGCAGTATAAAGTAATCAAATTTACCACCTTTACCAGCTGCAACATTACAGTGATGAACACATTAATGCATCAGTATTTATAATCCAGTAATAATGTAATTAGGGCTGCAGGATATGGTAAAAACATCATATTTCAGTTATTCTGACAGATATTGTGATATATATTTTCATTTTCACTGATCATTTCACTGATTTTTTTTTACCAAATAAACATGTTTTCTTACATCTGTAGATCATTATTTGTAGGGCAGGGCATCTCTGCATTATAACATATTTTATCTAAAAAAAATGTCTGAATGTTCTTCATATTTGTCTTTACTTTAAAAAATAAGAGACTCTAGCAGAGCTCAATGAATCTGGGTATTTTACCAACCTGGAACCAACTACTGGAACCCAACTCTCAATAACAAACTTATCTAACACCTCATCTAAACTCAGACCTTGCCCTCAGTGGAAATGTGAAACTCTGAGGAATATGTGACTCATGCTTCACGTCACTTACGAGGAACTTCAGACTTATCTCACCTGTTTCTGCACCGCTCCTTTCTCACAGTCAAAGTAACATAAAGCTGGGAAACGGTCGGTGTGACCATCATCAAACATTTTCTAAAAATATACAGAGAAAATATTCTGGAGACCTTGTTCATAGGGCAAGAAACAGCTGATATTTTTGATACCAAGTGGCTAAAACATGGTGTCAGATAAGGAATTTTCCACAAAAATATGTTTAAGACTACAAAAAACTTCCCTTTTTAATGATTCCTAAACAACTTAATGGTTAAAAAAAAGCTGATTCATGATTTAAAAATGCTAAAAAAATGCTGACAAGAGTCTAAAAATGTGCATCTGTTGACGTGAAACTGGCTCATAATGGTAAACGAGAAAATATTATGAGGGGAAAGTAGAAGAGGGTTAAATAACGCTTCAAAGTTCGCCTCTCTGACTCCTCCCCTTCCCTCCTCCTTCAGGACAGTGACGAGGGAGAGGAGGACGAAGAGGCGGCGCTGCAGTCGGGCAGTGAAGGCACCAGCTCGGAGCCACGGGAGGACCACACGGACGCTTCCTCGGTGGAGGTGACCAGCAGCCGTCCTCGCCGGACCGTGACACTGCGCCGGGCCTTCAGCGCCGGCAATGCAGCAGGCGGCAAGGAGGCCCCCGAGGGCCGCCGGAGGTCAACCCGCTCGCTGTCCGCCTACAACCAGAACAACAAGTATCAGCCCGCCAAAGGACAAGACATGCAGGTGCAGACGGAGAGGCAACGTGGTGCAACAGACCTTTTTCACAGCAGCCATTTTGACTGCCTGTTTCATTTAGTGTATCAGAGCCTTAATCACTGGTAACACCTGTGTTTACCCTACTCTGCTGTGAAAAAGGTCTATTAAACCAATGAATTGATGATGTAACTGACACATTGAAGTCATTTATCATTTAAAAATGTTTTTGCTTCATTCAAAGTAAATCACATTCTTAAGATGAATTGTTAATGATATCATTGATCATTAATCACAGCGCTACTTAAAATGTCCTTAAACAAGACTCATAGATTGATGAGTGTTGGTCTTTATATGTACATTATATTACATTATAAGATAAGATAACCCTTTTGTTACCCGACCATCGGTACCAGCCATGCTAGCTTGTTGGGAAGGAAGCTCCAAAGTTAGGGCTGAATTCAAAGAGATCCCTTTGACCTCTGACCTTGAAATATGTGAATGAAACTGGAGCTATAGATACCTCCTTTACACACATGCCCACTTTATTCTAATCCCATACAGTTTTCTGTATGCAGTTTGTGTTATTTTCACCTGTTCTTGCATTCTGGGGTCTATAAGCAGTACTGGAATTGTATTATTGGGTATGATTGGAAAGCTCCAGTGGATCCAGTGAGGACCCAATTATATCCATGTGTGATGATGTCAGTTTAATGTGTGTGTGTGTGTGTG